CAGTTTTTCTTCATACCTAAAGTTATAATTCAAGGGCTATCCTTCTTCAGCCTCGTGTCGGCCCAGTTTTAAGGATCCTTACTACTCTCCTGTTCACTGAACTGAATTGTGCGCCAAGGATCATCTATCATGGGATTCTTATAAACCCACTTTTTCTTCATATTAAGTTGTTAAATTGCTGAGTTTATATTTTATTTTCACACTTGTTAATGCTCTTTATCATTTTACATGAGTAGACCTTATTGCCTGAGGCAGTATCAGACACGGAAAGTGTGGATGCCGTTTGTCCGAGCATACTATCGCTCCATTTGCCGTCATCGCCGCCGGTGCCATCAATCTCGAACAAAATTACGCCTAAAATTGAGTCGTATTTTGACGTTTGCCCCCATCCCATCGCGTTACACACTGAGCCGTCTTGGCTCACAGGAGTTGTACAGCCTACGGCTGGAACTGTCTTGACCGAATCTGCCGATCCGACTTGCCCAACATTCACGGCTGTCGCCCCCAAGAATGAGGATCCCCTCCAAATCCAGGCCATTCTGACGAATCGGTCGGTTCGGCGACTTCGAGTCCGGCCTCGCCACAGGGCCAGCATGCGTCGGCAGATGGCCATTCGTGAACAGACGTCCCATGAGCCCTTCTCCTCTTTTCAGGGTGGACTCATCTGCCAGTCGCCCTCCAGACTCGACGCCTCAGTCATCGCCTCGACAGCCACAACATTTGGTCGTCGATCCGTGAAAATAACACCGCCCGGAGGGGCATTTTCAGATCTGATGTCGATCACCTCAAGACGGCGTTGCCTTCAGACGGCCAGACCATTGTCACGTTTGGACTCACCTCGCTCCGCGTTGCCACGTACTTCCTCTCCCATTCCGTCGTCGACCACCTCCTCCGCTGAACTGTTGACCTCGTCACGTCAGAAGAGGCCCAGTCGGCGTCATGTTCGCTGTACTCTGACGTGTCAACAGCTTGGGCTCGTCGTGAATTGCACCGATCGTGCCTCTCCAGGACCCCTCGATCCAACACCCGGGTCCCCTAAAAAGGACAGTCTATCCCACCGCCAGAGGTCCCGTTCTTCCGACAGGTCTGAGTAGGTCGAGGCAAACTAAATGCCAATTTTCGCTTTTCTAACCTTGTTTTCGGGTATACAAATATATATTAATAACTGTGTAAGAATTGTTTTTAAGGTGACACAGGATTACTTGTTGAATATTCCCTCAGTGATATGAGTAGGCCTCGCGTCTCCAAACAATTTCATATAGCCTTGCTTCAAAAAGGGTATTCTCATCCACCTTAAACGCATTAGGGCCAATACTACTCTGAACTGAAAATTGTTTGTGTAGTCGGTGGTAATGGGAAATATAAATTTGCTTCACTGAAAATTCCATCAAAGGAATGTGATATGGGAAAAAAGACACTTTTATCCTGTGACCCAAGGGCTTTCTTGACAGTTTGGCGTAACAGCTAATGTGTCGATACTATACGCTGTGCTAACCAGGCTAAAGTCCAGCTGGGGTGCTGATGAGAAATAAAGGTCGAAACTGAAGTCCAATTTTGGTGAATATGCCTTTTGAGAAGCAAGGCTGTGTGAAATCTAATGGAAACGGGAGGCCTTCTTATATGATTGTGGAATAATTCAACCCTCATTCTTTCATCGCCTTTGACGAAATAGGGTAAGTATATCTTATAAAAGTTGATTAAACGTTAGTGAGATGGTTATTAGTTATGGCAGCAACGAAAAATACGAATATATTTTTTCTATTTAACCTCTTACTTTGATGGCAATGTAGACTTAAGCATCCGGCAATCAAATAAACAAAAAATTATATTCGAATTAAAAGTAATTCTGAAACTATCACTATACCTTGATTAAGAGCTTTGGTCACCTTAGATCGCTTTTTTCCGTAAAGAGTTGGTCTTATTGGATTATCAACAAAAGCAACTTTGATAGCACAATTGACAAGACCTAATGCATGTCTCATTAAACATTATACGGAAATGAATAATTCGGAAAATTGCTTAACGAAGGCTTGGTCGGTAGGCCTGCAATAAAAGGAAGAGTATTATGCGCGCCTTGGTCTTCCTTCTAAGCTGCACAAAAAGAGACTGTAGTTCTTGATCCTGTAACAAATTATTAGCAAATTTTATCTGGCCTTGTTGGCTCCAGTTAAAGACTTTGGCACCCAACTAGTTTCAGTAGTAATCCATAAGCATCGTTTTATTATCTCTATAGGCAATCACATTACCATCTATCATACTTCTTGTGGTGACAATCACTATCATTTTGCCTAAGACGAAGAAAAATTGGATTCAGTGAACCAGCTGAGATTGAATGCAAGAATAGTTTATATTACAGCGACCATAATTGAATGAACTCGAGGAAAGGATCCATTTGCACGAATTAACAAGGCCATTGAATATTGTAGCGGTCGAATTAGAAGGGCTGCTCTAAAGTTCTTCATAGGAAGTAGTATTCTACATGTGTGTTAATGAAAGCCTTAGTAACCCTTAGTCACTTAAATTTAGTTAGGACTGATAGAAAATTTTGATTATCAAAATGAATAGGTCTCAACATTCAAGTAAATTTCATGTAA